TCCTTCTCTTTGGAACTTGTCTCAAGCCATTAAGCCATTTGGGGGAATTCAGTTCGTCTGACTTCATGTGACTACAGACATCGTGGTGGCTAGACTCCCATTGCAGTCAACAGAGACAGGAGGACCAACAGACCTGTGAGAACATCTTCAGTTGCTTGAACATTGGCAGTAGTGCCATTTCTAACACTGTGTGATGTTCTGCCTGGTCTCCATATACTGTTGTGGAAGAGGCAAGATCTCTTGGAAGTTCTATATATTATAGGACTGTAAAAATTAAAATCTGTAATTTTAAATGTAATGAATCAGATCTTCTAAGGATCTTCTCTGTATACTTCACTAACATCACAGAATCACAGAAGGCAGACAAAATCCCCTCCTGAAGAACATTTTAGAAATTTCTGTATCCCAATGGAGAACTGAAAGGAGTTTGCCATAAAGTGGGGGGAGTGGGAGAGGAGCTGATGAAGAGAGTACAAGCTGTTCTCCATCTATTATCTTTTATGCATCCTCTTAGAGGGATAGGTGGCAAAAAAAAAAGCAAAACTTACTTCCATTCATGTGAAACTACAGGACAAACAACTTCTGGAGAGAAAAGATCAGGCAAGTGGCATCCTGGCCTGTACCAGGAACAGTGTGGCCAGTAGGACCAGGAAAGTTCTCTTACTCCTGGACTGGGCACTGGTGAAGCTGCACCTCAAGTGCTGGGTTAAGTTTTGGGCCTCTGACTCCAAGAAGGACATGGAGGTGCTGGAGCGTGTCCAGAGAAGGGCAACGGAGCTGGGGAAGGGTCTGGAGCACAAGTGTGCTGAGTTCCCTTGTGGCTGAGGGAACTGGGGGTGTTGAGCCTGGAGAAAAGGAGGCTGAGGGGAGACCTTGTGGCTCTGTCCCTGCAAGGAGGGTGTAGAGAGGTGGGGGTGGGTCTGTTCAACCAAGGCCCAAGGGACAGGACAAGAGGAAATGGCCTCAAGTTGTGGCCAGGGCAGTTGAGATGGGATGTGAGGAAGAATTTCTTTGCTGAAAGGGTTCTGAGGCATTGGAAGGGGTTGCCCAGGGCAGTGGTGGAGTCCCCATCCCTGGAGGGATTGAAGAGTTGTGTAGACATAGTGCTGAGGGACATGGGTTAGTTGGGGACTTGTCAGTGTTGGGTTAATGATTGGAATTGATGATCTTAAAGGTCTTTTGAAATCAAGACTATTCTGTGTGTAATAAATTGTTGCATGATTAAACAAAAAACACCCCAAAACCAAACAAAAAAACACCAACCAAAGATAGGCCTTCATCTTTCTGGGAATGCTCACAGACATTTCCAGAAGCCAGAACATTGGGTCTCACATGCTGATGTCTCAATGGATGGTGGATATCTGGATTTTTAGCTATTTATATTTTTTTTTCCCCAACAGAAGACTTCTGCACAGTTAAAAAAAAAAATAATAATAATAAAAAAAAAAGATTTTGGCTTCTGAACACATTCCTGCAAAGGGAAGCGGAGTTCTGCCAGGCAGCCTATCTCCTGGTACTGGAGGGTGAGGTCTTCAGTCCATGTCTATGTATCCCCAGACAGCTGTAGGTCTCAGAAAAGCTCAAATTAAGGAGCAATTGGCACTGCAAATTGTTGCCCTCTGAGATTTGTGTGTCAAGACCCAGGTAAGATCATCACCCTTAGCCCATGTGAGAGACACCCAGTGATGCCAATGCTAAACAACAACAATTTATTCAAAGGGAGGAAAAGCAATGCGGAATACATTGGAATTTATTTTATATCATAAAGCTTTTGGCATTAAAAGTGAAAGGTGAGTGAGGCTTTGAAACAGGACACGCTGGTTTGAGCAACAAGGGGATTCAAAGCAAATTCCCAGGTTTAGAAGAAGATTTCATTGCTCTTGAATGGACAGTCCATGAAGTTTTTATACATCCCACGGCCTGCACAAGGAAAAAAAAAAAGAGATTATTTTTCTACTTGCATTCCCTCCCAACTTACTCTCAGTCCATGTATATTTTCCTCTCGGGTGTAAATGATTTCCAAAATACCTAATATCACAAGTGGTCATGCTGGGACAGCCCTGTACACTCATCCCTGGGAGTAAGAAGAGTGTTTTCCTATTGTTTCAGGAAAAGCAGGGAATTAAATCGATATTCCTTGATATTGGTGTGAATGTTTTCATTCCTGAGCGAAAACAAAAGGCTGCCTTTCATATGATAGTTCCTTTTCACAACACCGTTGCACTTTTTGCACACATCTGATGGCACTTGGAGATCTGTGTTCACTTTACAGCACCACTGAATCCTCCCGTGTTCCCCTTACAGCCCAGCAGCCCAGTTCTGCAAATACCAAACCCTGATACTTTGCTCTGACATAGGAGCTGTAAAGGGTTCAAACAGAGCTGTGACAGCACAAGGTTGACATCTCCAACCATGCTTTAGCCTTCTTGCTGGGGCAGATCATGGTGCATGTCAGCAGAAAGAGCATCTTGAAGCTCAACCAACTTCAACACTTGACTGTCCTCATGGTACAGTGGGTTTTTTCCCTTGTATCCAATCTGATTATTCACAAAATCACAGAATCACAGAATGGTGGGGTTGGAAGGGACCTCAGGAGATCATCCAGTCCAACCCCTCTGACAAAGCAGGTTCACCTCAAGCAGGTTGCACAGGAAAGTGTCGAGGTGGGTCTGGAACATCTCCAGAGATGGAGACTCCACACCCTCTCTGGGCAGCCTGTCCCAGGGCTCTGGCACCCTCACAGGAAAGAGGTTTTTCCTTCAGTTTGTCTGGAACTTCCACTGTTCCAGTTTGTGCCCATTGCCCCTTGTCCTGTCACGGGGCACCACCGAGAAGAGCCCGGCCCCATCCATTTGGCCCCCACATTTCAGGTATTTATAGACGTTGATCAGATCAATAGCACCTTGGGGTTAAAGTGACAATAGATTTGTCTGCTCATACTGCAGATAAGCCCTGGTGAATGTCAAACTCACCATTTGCAGCACGAACGGAACCCAAAGCAACTTCCAACTTTAACCAGATGGGTGGGACATCTTCCAAAGTGACAGGTCCCTTTTCTACAGAAAAACATGTCCCTCTGGGGTGAAGACAAACCTGCAACAATAATAAAAAATGTCCTTCCTTCTCATTCTGCAGGGCAGGGCAATGCAGTCACAATGCCAGCAGAGTTTCCCATTCCTTGAGCTGCCTTCACCACCAACCTCTCTTAAGGACTGTTGCCCAGATTTGACCTTGTAGAAAGCCCACATAAGAGGTGAGATTACAAAGCAAGTCTACACCTTAAAGAGGTGGGATCCTTTGCTCACAGCACATCTAAATGGATGTCCTTAAAGTCCAGGTGGAGAGTGATACAGATCTCCTGACTCATTGTCCTTCACCTTATGGAGAAGGTTCATGGGTCCAGAGGCTTTAATACTGGTTCCTCTCTGCAAATAGTTGGCCAGACTTTATTTTCATCTGTTGAGTGCTCTGTTATCCAAAGATCATGGCCACCACAGGCACTATCTTAGGTGTCTAACACCAGAGTGTTTAGCATAATCTTTTTAGGAAGACACCAGAAATGAAAAATCACTTTTCTTCAGAAGTCATAATTTCACCCACCTTTGAAAGAGTTTTGTTAGGGGAGCACAGGCACTGAGATGTTTAATTTGTGCTTGGTTTCTAGCAGTTTTAAACAACAGTGGTTAAATTGTGTTGGGAAGTGGACTTCATGTGCACAACAATCCCCTTTTAGCATCTCTTTTCCATCTTACCTGGAGAAACCTGGAGTGCCAAGAAGAGGAGAGAAAAGAGCAGGTAAAGGATCTTCATGACTGTGGAGTCGCTGTGTCACTGTAGTTTTTTAGGGAAAAGGACCAAGGAAGATGTATGACAGACAGTCCCTGGGATCTGCAGTCTTCTGAATTGTACAAATAGTGTGTGAATCAAAGTGTCATTGGTATTGCTTTTTTTCTTCACACTTTCAAAAATAGTTTGATTGCTCAGATTTCTTTCACATTTTGCAAATAGTCCTTAGCCAAAATGCAATAATTTAGTTTAATTTTCGTTAAATGTTTCATCTAATAAATAAACAACACTCAGCAAAAGGAGGTGATTACACAGTCAAACTCATAAACTTCAGGAAAAAAAAAATATTCATTTTGCAGTGTTAAAACTGATCAAGAAATAACAGCTAAAATCAACCTTTTCAAAATCTTCGTTCTTAGTCTACAGGCAGCAGTTCTGGAATGGAAATGTGCAACCAAGTCAGTTCCCATTTCACAAATGAAATTTGAAAACCAAAAATGTCGTTTTCATTGTTAATAATTGAATTAATATCAGCAAAACGGTATAAGATAGCCTAGAAGGAAGCTCATGGATCAAAAAGAGGTTGTTAATGTCATATATCTTGGCATTAGAGAATCTTCTGATCCGTCAGAAATTCTGTTCTCTTAAGCAAGGAAGGGAAAAGAGGTTGTGCTGAAATGTTGTATTTCTGCAAATAGAATGGTAAAAAGGGGGGGTCCAAACCAGCTTTGAAATTAATATTGGAATGTACATAAATTTTGATGCATTTGAAAATATCAGGAGAAACAATCAAGTAAAGTTAACAATTCTGAAAATGAAATAAAGTTTTTAACACAGAGACATAGATACAAAATAAATACTGGTTTCCATCAAAGAACATCAATTTCTCTGGACCACAGACCTCTCTACAGTAACCTAACACAGACAGATTTTTTTCCCCAGGAGTTAATAAGCAAAGTATTTCTATCAAAGTATTTCAGGCATTAACACAATTTGAGCCACTTAATCAACTTGTACAATTTCTGGAAAACTTAGATTAATGTTTTTAGTAACCTATAAATTTAGGTTCATAAATGCAGGAGTTCAAGTTTTTTTCTTTTGATTTGGTGGTTTGTTTTTTTCCCCCCTTTTTTTTTAATGAGGAAAAAACAATAGCAGACATGGAAAGAAAAACTGAAAAGAACATGAGAAGTTACCAGGTATCAGGTGATCCCAGAAGTCAAACAAGAGCTGCTCTTGGTCCCTTCCCTCCCGAGGGCTTTGGCTGTGGGGCTGAGAGCCTCTTTTATAACATGTTTCCTAAGGGGAGTGACAACTGTTTTCTCATCAAGTTGGTTTTCATTTCCCAGTGAAAACACAAGGTTTCTCTCTGAACCTGGTGAAGTTTTTCTTCTGGAAAATCCCAGGTTATTCATGCAATACCTCTTGTGACACTCCAGTTTGTGTCAGATACGTTAAACCACCGTGGTATGTGTCAAAAATCTTGGGACATACGTTGAACTGTTCTTGCTTAGGAGCAACATAATCCATTGCAACGCAAAACATCTGGGTGCTTCTCTGCACTCCCAGTTAGTTTATTTTCTATTCCATAAATAGAGAATAAAAGAACACAGAATGGACATATGAAGCTAAAATAAATGTCTATTTGCTTAGTGGCCAGTGGCCCCTAAGGATGACCAAGTAAAGAGTAAAAAATGTACAGAAATAGGGTGAGTGCATGGTGGTTATGTCCCTGTT